ACGCAAGCAGATTTTGACATCAAATTTTGGGGTAAAAAAAGTGCGTCTTATACATCGAAAAATACGGTATGTTCCAAGTACTGAAGTGATTGAAATATCGCCTTAAGTGTAATAAGTTACAAAAATGACATATTTTCACAGATTTGTTGCTATAAGTACTATATTATATTATATATATTTACTCCTCATGGTCAGCAAAGCGATTTTGCTATTTTTTTTATACACCCCTACTTATAAGTCTCTCTATGTAGGAAGCAAGGTTAATAACTATGGTTTCAAAATGTAAAGTCACATTATCCACCTTTAATCAGTTATGACAACATAGAATATACTGTTATCATGCAGAGAAAGGTTGTGAGGGGTGGTTGATATTTTGCTCATAGGGCTGCCCACTTATTTTTTCACTAAAAAACTATTATTCATCCGCAGCTTTCTAGTGCTAATTCATATGTTATAGTATGGTTTTATGTTCTATTTACCAATATCTGGAAAAATAGAGTCGTTAAAACATTTGAACTATATCTTAGTTCCATTCTTCTGACTTGGATCAGTTTGCAGCAGTAAAATAGAAAAAACACACTTTAGATTATTCAATTTCATCTACACATGTGATATGCGATACTCTAACTTTACTCAGAGTGGTTTATAAAAAGTTTAATCTTCTCATTTTATCTTTAGCTGACTCAACTTTTTTATATTAATGAATAATTACTTTTTTATTATATTATTTGTAAAAATATAACGTAGTGCTTTTCAGTATATCAGCATCTCTCAATCATTCAACTCCTCGGGAAGTGAGTTAAAATCAGCAGAATGGTCTAAATAGGGCAAGAGAAATGAGCTTCAAAGCATAAAAAGATAAAGTATTTTACATTTGCAAATGAACCGAAGATAAATCATGCTTATAGAAACTTGTGCATTTTATGTAGATTTTAAAAAACTTGAATTGGTGGGTGAAATTTACAGAAAACGTATAGTCTGGTCTGGTGTCAAGCTTGGAATGGTGAGCGAATTTAAGTCAAAATGACACCGCACATCTCATATATCATGTCTGTAAGCGATGGTATTATACTACTTAAGATTATAATTAAACTTCTGTCATAAATAAATTATTAATCGCATTTTACATTTCTGACATGTTTATAAAAAAAAGTTTAAACATAAATGAGACTAATAAAATGGGTGAAAATCTCAATTACAGATTCGATATTGATGTATTTAACCAGTATATCTGCTCTTTGCTTTCTTTGTAATTACAACTTAAGTACTGATGTGTTTAACCAGTCTTTCTGGCCTTTTTTTATAATTAAGTAAGATTCTTTTTTTAGTGGAGGATCTATAATGCTTTGTTTCACTGTTCAGTATGAGTTGTCTTTAATATTTGTTTCAAAGACTCGTGAAGTACAACCTAAAGTCGAAAGGTGCCTTCCTTATTTCGGGCTGAAAAAAATCATATACGCCATTTTATGTTACCAAACTTCTCAGAAATAATGTTATTACATTAGTTAAAGTTTCAGAATTATATATTTATGTAACTATTAGCAGGAACCTCTAGGTATGCCATTTTGAATAGGATGTGTCAACCTACATCCTAATTACCAATAAAATAACGCGTAAAATATGCAATATTTCAGGCTAATAGTTTACTCAGTAGGTAGGATAGCGTAATTTGAGTCCAGTAACTTACTTTATTTAACCTTGCATCATTTAAGCGTAATAATTAATTGGTTTTAATTCTTCACTGAGTTTGAATACCAACCGTATAATACGGCTCTACAATTTTACGTTTTGCTAAAACCAATAATCTAGGCAAATTCTAATAAGATGACAATACATAGATTCGAATCACACTCTATGCGAAACTTACCACGCACAACTAGGTACGACTGGATTTGGTTCAAACTTATATTAACATTTTGTACACACTCTAATAGACAGTAGTATTCGTCATGTTCTTAATATGTCATTATTAGTGGAAGAAATCGCATCCTACATTACAAAACAACAAAAAAATATCATCAACTCATTAAAATGAAATATTAAACACCTTTCGATATCCCTCTCAGATTCGCTACTTGAGCGAAATTAGAAACAGCCATTGAATACACACACATACACCAGAACAGTTTTTCTTCATGCACTTCCGGTGCATTAACTTTAATATTACACATTTGACTCTTTCTGTTAATTGCAAGTAAGTGTTTGTGTTGTTAAACGTAAGAGGTGACTTCGTATATTTGGACTAATGGTTGTTCTTTGATCAGAAATGTTGTTTTTCTTTTTTTCTTCAAAAATACAGTGAGATCCAACGCTTTCTAGTTGTTTCTGATTTTTGTGTTTGTTTTTAAATTTTACAGTTCCTGTTGCCTGTTGATGACTGAATAACAAAAACAAACACGAATAAGAAAGCCATAAAAGACAACGTCTTATGGCGGCTTATCTTCATGTGTGAGATTAGAAACTGTTTGTTAGAAAATATTTTTCAACTTCTCCAACAGTAGAATATTCTCTATATGAAGTTTTGGTAAGTAAAGCGTACATCACGTTGAACCAGAAGTTTAAGAAGCTTCATATGTAAGTATAAAAATAGTATCAATATTGATTTAGCATCTGTCTATCTAGTTATCTATTAAAGTGTGAGATATAAGAAATATAGAACTAGACTTTAGTGTGCAAAACGCAATCTAATAGAAAAAGTTGCAAACTTTAGTCACCAACACGTGTGTTACATGTTCGTACAAATACACGGATGACGTAAGCTTCGATTGTTTGTTTGTTTGAATTTTTGCTCAAAGCTACATAACGAACATATCTACGCATAGCCGTACCTAATTTTGAACTTATTCCATATTCTCATATTTTAACTTTGTAATAAATAGGTATGTATATATGTGTGGAAGGGTTGCACATGAGAAAATATATGTAACATGGTAATTTTAAAACTCTCTGTTCTGAAATTATTTAAATCAATAGTGTTCAAATTATCAACAAAATGTACACTTCAGTAAACTTGTCTAATGCCAAGTTACGTTCAGAGAAACCTTGACGTCATTAGCTATTTAATCCAACCAATCGTAGATGATGAGTCAAGTAAAGTTGTCAGACTGAAGGTCTTATAGTCTTGCTGACACAGAAACACCTGAAATAGATTTAAACATCGACTACAGTGGCATAGTGGCGAATTTTAAAGTGAAATTATCACAGATTTTATTATAATAACATAGTAAAGAAGAAATATTATGTCTTGTCAAACTGTGTTCTAACGTAATTAAACCACCCTGTGTAGGCTTTGACAAAAAAAAGAGAGAATTATATAAAGCTCTTGATACAACTTTTATGACCAACAGTGTAATAAACATTTATATGTACGCTTGACTTGTTTTAATATATTGTTATAAAACAAGTAGACTGTGTGCTGTTTGCTTATTTTTTAATTCTATCGCCAGCAAGTCACAGATATCTACTGTAAAGAATCCGGCCCATACCTTGCAAAACCTGACACTATTTTTTCCGATATATTGGTCTCTGGAGAGAAAGAACTGAAGTCTGTTTACGAATTTTTACAAGTGGTAATATCTATGTTGAAATACTTACTGTAGCATGTAACTCAGGAAAAGAAAGGTCAAGGTGTAATCATGATACCAGAAAATTTTGATTGTACATGCATAACAGTATCCAAGCAGTTTGACGACAGTTCCTTACTTCTTTTAACGAAATATAACCTTGAGAAGTAAAATAAAATAGATAGACGAAAACAATTTTGTTACATCATCAATGTTACAAAGTCGACAGAAAGTTTGAAACTTCACTTGATCTTTTAATACTAAAGTTCTTAGATAAACATTGACTTGTAAAGCAAGAAGAAGAAGTAAAACTAGTAATTTAGTTACTACGTACACAAATAAATTATTAAATCAAATTGGTTTGGAAACTTCCACACCTATAAAGCGACTTTCCCTTTTGGGAATAATTACGTTTATGCTATGTAAGCTTTGCTTCAACATTTCGAAAAGCATTAACTGCCTAGAACTTATTTATATTCATTGAACCAACAATAATTAAAAATACTACTTAAATCATGCTTTTGGTAATTTGTTTTAATACTTTACATCCAGGAAGAGTTAATATGCGAAACTTTTATTAATATTAATTGTTGAATTGTTGTGATGAAGAAAGCATGCCTAAGCTACTTAGTAAACACCCAACGCAAAACTGTAATTTATTTTACATTTGTACCGAATGTGACAATAATATTTTTGCTTCTATGCCATGAAGTTTCATTTCTATAATAAGAATAAAATCTTCCCCTGAGTTTTGTATTTTTTTTTCAAATTACGAGTCCAGAAATTATTTTTAGGATTGTTTGTTTGTAATTAAGCACAAAGGTACACACAACAAGCTATCTGTGATCTGCCCACCATGGGTATCGAAACCCAGATTCTAGTGTTGTAAGTCCGCAGACATACCACTGTACCACTGGGGGGGGGGACTATTTTTAGGAAATGATGGCAGTTTGATTGTTTTAATGATTTTTTAAGGAACATTTTAGGGGGAGGCACTTATATGAAAATACAAGTATTAAATATTTTCTCGAACTGCATGAAGAAGATATCATTGTTAAAATGATTACTCTATAGGTATAAAATCTTATAACATAATTCTTTTGATAACATTATAAAATTAATTTGAAAATAAAATAACTATTATTATTTGATAACAAAAACCTGTTATATAGGCGTGATTCTTTACTTGATTTTATAACTCTAACACTTTCATTACATTGTATTTAAGCATAACTTAAGAATGATTATATGGTTTGATTATTTTTTTGTTTGCTTAAAAAAATAAACGCCCCCAAGTGGCACAGCGGCATGTCTGTGGACGTACACCGCTAGAAACCGGGTTTCGATACCCGTGGCGGGTAGAGCACAGACAGCTCATTGTGTATCTTTGTGCTTAATTACAAACAAACAAATAATTTTTCACGCCGTCTGTGGGGGATAGGTTGATTCATTGGATAGAAAATTAGATAGATGAAAAAAAAGAAGAGGATTGTTTACATGCTATTTATAGTGAGTTTGAGATTTTAATTTGTATTGCACATATTGAACATCTGACCCATTCCTACTATAAGTACTATCGTATTTCTGACAAAAGTTTTAAAGAAAAACTTTTAGAACGGCAGAGTCCTCTAAATATATGTGATAAGGGTCACGAGTAGGTTTCTTCAGGGCTCTGTTTTAGGACTTTTGCTCTTTCTGATTTACATCAGTGACAAAGCTAAGGGAATCGTCAATAAGTTATTTACATTTGTTGATGATATTTAAGTTTCGGATGTTGCTGGCTGTGAAGAAGTGGAGGATACTTTACAAAAGGCAAGTTGGGGTAATAAATGTCAGATGACTCTTAATTATAATAAATGTAAGGTATTTCATGTGGGATATCACAATTTGAATTATGAGTATAATTTTGATGGGAATATCCTTCGCAGTGTTATGGAATAAAAATATCTTGATGTTCTGGTTGATTAGTCTATTAAGTCATTCGAGTAATGTGCTGTTGCTAGTGACAGGGCAAAAAGCATTTTAGGTTGTGTCTACAGAAATATTGAGTATAAGTCTAAAGAGGTTATAATATCATTTTATAGGCCATTGGTTAGGCCATATTTGGAATATTGTGATCAGTCTTGGGTTCCTTACCATAGAAAGTACATTTAATTGTTAGAAAGGGTTTAGGAGAATGTTATTAAGATGATATCTGGGATGAAAAGGTTGTCATACGAAGTTTTGATTAAGAACTCTGAACTTTTCTTTTGGAAGTTAGAGGGGATCTAACTTAGGTGTTTGAAATTGTTAAAAGAATTGATAGTGTTGATGCATCATCTTTTTTTTGTATTGAACTGCGAGAATGGTAAGACTAGGAGACAAAAGTATACATTTTGTCAGGGCAGGAGCCATCTTCAGTTAATTAAAAAAACTTTATTTTTCTAGCAGGGTGGTTGACCTCTACAACGGGTTGCCTTCGTATGTGGTAGTTGCAATTAAGGGAGATTAAAGAAAAGTTTGATAAATATTTGAATTATAAAGGTTGAGTTTGAGGTTTTAGTGTTTAGTTTAATTTAGTGGATGAATTCCTGGTTGTTGTTTTTCTTCATAGAAGTGTAACACGAGTAACTAATTATTCTCTTCTCTAAGGAGCCGAGCACGGCTCAGTGGTTCGCATCCCGTTACCGCCAAAATAATTGTGCTTCGCACTTTGGAGTCAGTGTTCTGTTATTAAAGTGACAGTCAAATCCCACTATTTGGTCTAATGAGTGTAACCCAAGAGTGGGTGTTTGGTGTTATTGATTGACTTCCATCTACTCTATCATTTCAAACTTAAGAACAGATAGTAGAAATAGCCCTCATCTAGCTTTGCGCAAAATTTAACAAACAAACTATTCATCATATAATGATATTTTTTCTCTATAAATTGTTTGAAACCACAAAATAAAGAACTGTCGCATTCATCCGTAATTTCTGCATGCGATATATCTAGCTATTCAAACCAGAAGTTGAATTAATATTTTGACTAGTAATTACCATAAATTAATGTAATATTAACTGATAACAAGGGAGATTTTGGCCCATCTAGGCCTTCTATTTTATTAAGTTGCAAGAGATAGTGTTTTTTTTTCTAATTTGGTTTTCTTATTGTAAGGTGCAGTGTGTGTGAAATCATTCTAGTTATGCGACGTTTGTTATGATAATATTATTGTAGCGTTTATAGAAATTAGAAATGTTGTTTAGCCAGAAGAAAATTTAATATAACGTTATGGACGGGGCCTTAATATCTAGCTTTTTTCAAATTTTAAGAAAGATTTCACATTATATATGTAAAAACTGAGTTGGCTAGAGTTAGTTATTGATTGCCAGAGTCAGTTAATGAATGAGCTAGTTTTTTAGTCAATTAATGAGTAATCAGTGCATTTACTCAGTTGCTACTGTCAGTCAGTTATTTAGTTTGTTCAGTGTTGTTATTACTGAGTGTGTGATTCAATGAAGAATTAAAGATACGAAATCCGTAAGTAAATGGAATTTCTGTTAAATATAGCTTATTTGTGAAATTAGGTCTATCATTATAACTAACCATGGAATTTAAAATTGAAGAAACAATATATATTTGTTATGGTTAAGTAGCCTGGACTTCACATTTATTATTTTAACCGAATGATCCAAAAGAATTCGGCCAACAATAGAAACCATTTCAACAATATGATGTTAACTAGACACAAGGCACACCCTAGGCATCCTTCAATCTTAGTTTTTTGATTGAATAGTATTTTTGTATATACATTGAAGTCGCTTTCTGTCCGTAACGCTACCTTTGTTGGTATTGTTTCACTCTCTGTTCGTAACACTGTCTTTGTTGGTAACATTCCAACTGGCTCAGTGGTTAGTCTCAAGCTGAAGTCTCGCGTTCAAATTCCAGTCGAGTGGGGAATTTTATAACTTTTTTAAATTATTAACTCATCATGTTCAGAAT